TTTCTTCTGTTGCCTGTGCTTTTAGTGTCATATCTATGAAACCATTGCCAAATCCAATTTCATGAATTTTTCATGAACTGAATTGCCCCTATTTTTCTTATGAGGGTTTTATAGTTTAGCTCTTACATTTGGTCTTTGGTACATTTTGTGTTTATTTTCTAATATGCTATATGGTAAGGGTTCAAATTCAGTGTTTTGAATGTGGATAGCCAGTTTTCCCAACCTCTTTTGTGTCTTTTTTAAATCCCTCTTTCCCCCATCTTCAGGCAATCACTGATCTTCTTTCTGTCTCTATATGTTAGTTTGCTTTTTAAAAGACTTTCTATAAATGGAATCATACAGTATTTGTTTTTTGTTAGGCTTCTTTCACTCAGGATAATTATTCTGAGATTCACCTGTTTTGTTGTGGTTACCAATACACCATTCCTTTCTATTGTTGAGTAGTATTCCATTAAAATTATATAGGATTTTTAAATGATTAATGAGAGTTGAAATATTTTACCAGACTCTGATGATAACCATAAGTTCCGTTTTAAAAATTCAAATGGTTTGTTCAAGCTTCATGTCTCAGCTATATACTATTCAGCATCTTTAGTAGCCTAAACCTGTCTTATAGGGCCCAAATAGCACCTTTTCCCTGACTTTAAGATGTTCTTTACTCATCAGAGAAAAACAAATGATAAATAATAGACAAAATTCAGAACCACATCTTAACGCTGCAGCAGAGTAGAGGCCCTTTGATCAAATGCAATCAGACAGGACTAGGAGTCCATCTGTCCCTCTCACCAAATCTCGACACTCAAGCCCCCCTCTTTAGAATGTTCATTGACTTAGTCTGATGAAACTCTGAAAGCAATGTGAGACACTGCTCTATAACTTATGGTTTCAGGTTTTATCTGAGAATCTAGAACTATCATATACAGCTGTCAACACATGCTACTGTTTCATTGGCTGATAATCCTGAGTTAGGATTTTCTTGTGTAATCAAAATAAAGAGTAAACCAAAAAGGAAGCACTGAATGTGGAGATTAAACTGTAGACGTGTATTCATGCTTTTCATGACCGAGGCAGGCACAGATCATCCTGGCGAAAGTTTGCAAAAATATCTTCCTTCACACTGATTTGAAAAGATTATTAAAGTATTGCTTAATTGTTTTTTATGGATAATTTTAATGGTTCTGAGCACCCAAATTTCAATGGGGTTGGTGGGTGCCTTTCCCCATCACCAAGCAATTCTCTGACACCAGCTGGGTGTTCTACAGTTCTGACACTATCTACCTGGACAGCATCAGATTCCACAGGTGAAGGCCTCAGTCCTACAAAACTACCTCCCACCCCCACTCAGATGCTGTTTGCAAGCCTAGGTTTGCTCCTGACTGGTGCTCCTGACTGGTGGTTCTAGTGACTCACCCTCCTTGGATATGGTTGGTCTTGCTACAGTGTCTCACAGAACTCAGAGGAACATTTTACTTTAGCTTACCAGTTCAGTATAAAAGGATATAACTCAGGAACATCCAGATGGAAGAGAGGCATAGAGCAAGGCATGTGGAAAGGGTATGGGGCTTCCGTGCCCTCTCTGAGCATGCCACACTCCCCAAATCTGCACATGATCACCAGCCTGGAAGCTCTCCAAACCCCATTCTATTGGGTTTAATGGAGGCTTCATTACACAGGCACAGCTGAGTAAATCACTGGCCATTGTTGATTGAACTCAGTCTCTAGCCCCTGTCCCCTCCCAGGAGATGGGAGTGGATTGAAATTGCCAACCCTCTAATCACATAGTGGGCTTTACTGGCAACCAGTCTTCATCCTTAGGTACTTTCCAAAACTCACCTCATTAATGTAACAAGAGACACATTTATTGCTGTTGTTACCAAGCAAGCCCCACTGCCAACCATGCACAGAAGCCAATACTATGGCACTGGCTTCTTTTTTTGGGGGGGTGGGACAAGGGGGAAAAGGGGGGGGGGAGCTTTTATTGCTACATTGATCAGCAAGGAGACAGTGGCAAGGCTCAAATCTGTTTCCCTAATCCCAGGGTTCATGGTGAGTTTTAAGAGGTTGGAGGAACAGGCTGGTATGCAGGAGTGCTGGTAGGGCAGGTTTTGATCACAGAGCTTTGGAATTTGGGCATTTGTGATAAGGGGCTTCAGCACTGGAGGTTCCTGGAAAATGGACCCTTTGTTTTCAAAAGGGTTCCGGTCATGTTCCAGTCCTTTAGTTCCCTGGTGGGAGAGGGAAGGAGAGGCTGGTTCTGGGTGCAACTGGAGGTGCAAGTTCCCTCCTCTGAGCAGCTTCAGGTGTGTGAAGTATGGTTTGGGTCTGTTGTCTCTGAAAAGCAACTCAGAATCTCGTCAGAAACAGGATAGGACCAGTTTGAGTTGGCTCCTGCAGTTCCACTCTCATCGCTTGGGAAATGCCAAGAGTCTTAGTAACTCTGTGCCAGAAAGAGGACGAGCACCCAATACATCTTTGTTAGTATAAATCACAATATCACAAGCTTTTAAAACATGGAATGGGAGTTGGTGGTTCTCCTAAGTGGGGAACCCTGTTAAGCACCCTGTGGGTGCCCAGTTTCAAGCAACGTCATCTACAGCAACTGTGGGAGCTTGGGCCCCAGTGCCTGCAGCCCAGCCTGGGACAGATGGTTTCGTGCCAGTGTGTGCTTTTTTGCAAGTATTTGCATATCTTTCTGCAATTTGCCCTTTTTGTTCTTTAAAAATGAGTGGAAAATAAAAAAGTTTTGCTGAGACAAGTGATAACACAATTGAGGCAAAGTTGGAAATCCTTAGAGTTGCTGAAATCAGCAAAACGTTAGCTTAAAGATTTGCTTGTGAAGACAGGTCCAAAATGGAAGAATATGTGTGAAAAGTGATATCATTCAAGACTGTGTCTAAAGAGGAAGTGTGAGGAAGATGGAGGAAATGAAGAGATCTTTAAATTTGGGATTTAGGAACATAAACATACCCAGGTCCACAGAACTGATGACAGGGTGCTGTTTGCTGCACATCACTTAGCACCCGAGGGAGAAAATTATTGCTCAATTTGGCCTTAACAGCATGAAAGAACAAAACTCAAATAAGTTAATTTGAAAATCAAATTGGCTTTATTGTTATTAAGTGAATTAGGCAGCATCCCACCTAGCAAGTAGAAGGGCGCTTCGAGGGGCTGTACAAAATGGGAGGTTTTTATTGGAAGAAGGGTATGGCAGGGGAGTTATTAGAAAAAGAAAAGAAAGGATTGTTTTTGGACCAGGAGGAATGGTCCTTTTGGGTGGCCCTTTTGGGTGATAGGGAAGGCAAGCGTTTGATGCAGACCGCCTCTCCTTCCTTTTGAGGGGGTGAAGAGGGCCCATGTGACAGATTATCTTACTGGTACTTGACCAGAAAATTCCAGGCTGGTTGATTTAAGACTATATTTCTGGGAGAAGTCGAAACTGCAATTAAATCAGGTATTAACTCTAGGTTTTTAGCATGAGCGATGCCATTTTGGGCCTGTGGTTTCCTTTTTAACAAGAGTTTGCAGGAAGTAGGTAAGCCAGCTCGAAAGCCAGCAATCATAGTCTGCCTGTTCTCTGCAGAGACACCACCCATGACCTTCCCCGTGTCTTACTGATTTTTCTGTCCATTAAATATCAGCTCAAGTAAATAGAGCTAAATGTTTTGTTTAGAAACCTATTTTATATTGTTTACAGTTGACAATCTATATTTTAAGTGTTAGAAATAACTGTCATATTTACACTTAAAATAATATGCCATAGTTAAGGCTTTTGTCATGCATTTTAACTTTCTAAGTCTGTGCCTGAGTTTTTATACATTGGACCTTTTTTTCACGGGCTTGTAAAACATTCATTTATGCTTAATTGTGTAATCTTTAAGACACACAGACAACAGAGAATGAATAGCCACTACCCATGTATCTACCCCTCCCTAATTTAACAAATACTAAAATATTCAGTGCTGAATGTTAAATTTAATAAATGCTAGAAGTTCCCTCCCCACTGCACCAGAGGCACTCACCCTTCTGATTTCTATCCTCATAGATTAGTTTCATCAGTTCATATGAGAGGAATCATATATTATGCATCCTGGTATCCAGCTTCTTTCACTTGTGGTAATGTGGAGATTCATCCCTGCTGTTACATATTATCTGTCACTTACTGCTGACAAGTGAGTCCATGGTATATATTTACCAGCAGGTTATCATTTTCCTCTGAGTAAGGTTGGCTTTTTAAAAAAAAAAGATTTTGTTGGGGGAATTGGGGAAAGGAACAGTGCTGGGGAATTGGGGAGGGGAACATTTTGTTTTTCCAGGACCCATCAGCTCCAAGTTAAGTTGTTGTCATTTCATCTTAGTTGTGGAGGGTGCAAGCTCAGCTCCAAGTCTAGTCGCTGCTTTCAATCTGGGGGTGGGGGGTTGCGCATAGCCCACCATCCCATGCAGGAGTCCAACCCGGAAACCTTGTTGTTAAGAGCATGCACTCTTGCCAGCTGAGCCATCCAGCAGCCCGTTGTCAGCTCAGCAGCAGCTCAGCTCAGGCACAGTTCACTGGCCCATGTGGGAATCAATCAGTGACCCTGTTGTTCAGAGCTCATGCTCTTAACCAACTGCACCACCTGGCCAGCCCTGAGGTTGGCTTTTTAACCAGCACCCTCCCCCATGCCTCCCCTCCCCTGCCCCCAACCCCCTGCTGCCTGAGGGGTGGTCTGCTCCTTGCCAGGCTCACCTCCATGCAGTAGGGGATCTATGGCCACCTGTTCCCCCACTTCCACCCCTGCCACCTGGTTTCTGAGGTTACCAGGGACCTACCAGAGAGCCACCCCCAGACACCCACTGGGTCTTGGGCTGGGGGAGGGGTCTTTGGGGACAGCCAGGCCCTGGAAGTGGTGGTGAGGGGGAGGTCAGGGGTTCTCCCAGGGTGTCTCTGGCAGCGTGCCCTTGCCCCTGTTCTATGATTAACCAAGGACTTCCTCAATAAGCACTTCCTCCTGCCCCTTCGAGGCCCTGAATCATTATTCTAACTTGTTCCCAAGACCCTGAGTGCTGTCCATGGCTCTGGTGCCCGGCCGTCCAAGTCTCCTTCGATGCTCTGCTTAGGGATGGCCTTTGGCGTTACATTCCTCCTGGGTGGTGAGTGGGGGCCTCAGTGCTGGAGAAGCCTCTGGGGAAGGTATTTACCTGGTGAGTCAGGCTGGGGGCTGGTGGTCAGTTCACACAGCTCTCAAAAGGAGCTGAAGGCAGGGGAGGGCCTATGGTCCATGGTCTGGCCTGGGATCTGGGAGAGGTGTGACCTGAGTACAGGTGAGGGAAGATGGGCTGGTGGGTGATACACAGGCAGAGATGACTTGCCTCCCCACGGTCCCCGAGCATCCCTGCCTCCCCACTGGGGGGCCCTGGTGCAGCACTCTGTTAGTGAGAAGAGTCAGCCCAGCCACCCCTGGAGGGGGCGCAGAAGCCGCCAGAGGGGAAAGGGCTGGGTACCGTCTCCTGGCGCTTGTGTTGGCCCCATGTCTTGACTTCAGGTCAGCTGTCCCACTATGGCCAAGAGAAAACTCCAGAAGTAGAAAACTGTCAGGACCACATTCGCATGTCACTTAAAAATCAGATTTCACACAAAAATCCAGATTTCCAGCTTCTTTTGAGAAATGGGGAGGTCTGGCAGTTGTGGGTTCTGGACCCTTGTGATGGCTGCCCCCTTGAGAAGGGCCACAAGCTCTGTGGTGCTCACACCCGCCCACGTGACTCACTGATGTCACCTGCCTGCAGGCACTTGAGTTTGAGACCCTTGGTCTCCTACTACTTGTTAGATCATCAGGGCTGCTCTTAGGGTTAGATGCAGAATCATTCTCTGAGAGGAAGATGTAAAACATGAGGCTCCCTTGCTTGTGGCCGCGGTAGGGTCCCAGAACCCTGAACATCTGGCCTCTTCCCAGAACCCTGGGATTCAGATGTCCAGATCGTCCCTGCCATTGCCTGGTGTGTGGCCTCCATAGAGCTTCCCTCCCCTTGGCGGGGAGTAGAGTCCTCAATCCAGAGATAGCTGGGAATTCTGGGAGGAATGGGGAGAAAAGGGGGTTGCTTGGCAGTGGGGGGAGGGGGGTGTCAGAAAAAGCCCTTGAAATGTAGGGGGGTTTCCCCTGAGGCTTTCAGCTTAGCCACCAGGGAGGAGGATGCGATTAGTCTGGGAGCAGGAACAAGGGCTAGACCCCTGGCTGTGTGGTGACTGCAGTTCTGGGTCAGTCAACAAGCAGTAATTAGCCACCTGCTAGGGCAGACACTGCACCAGGCACAAGGCAGGTGCACTCCTTGCCCTCTTAGAGCCTGGCACCAAGGGGGAAGGACATAGGAAACACATAATGTCAAATAATTAATCAGAATACTTAAGTGGGTTCTCCCATCTGGACCTTAGGGTCTCTGTGTAATGAGCAGATGATGCAGCACAGTCTGTAAGTAGGGTAACCATATGTCCCGGTTTGCGTGGGGCAGCCTTAGCGTCCCTGAGGAAAATGATTAACTCAGAAGGTCCCTGTTTCGATACTAAACTGTGTGGTCACTTTATCTTTAGAAGATGTTCCTCATCTAACATGGCAGGAAGTGACTGGCCTCATCTCAGGTTGTGGATGTCCTTTGATGTGTCCTCGAGAGGACAGTCCTCTGGACTGTTGTCCTTCGCATTGCGCTTCAGTTATTTTTAAGGGAGAGAGAGAGAGAGACAGAAACCACACAACTCATAAACCAGGAAACAAAACAGAGAAGGCTTTGTCCCGGGCAGATGGGAAACCAAGACTGCAGCCGCCACAGAGTGGGTGCCCAGACCCTAAGATGTCAGGAGGCTTGAGGAGGGGGGCTTCTCTGATTGGTCCCCATCCTACCTTCCCATGGTCCTCAGTCCTCGCTTCTTGTCATGGATTCAACTTGGACGTGGAGGAGCCCCAGGTCTTCCGAGAGGATGGAGCTGGCTTTGGGCAGAGCGTGGTCCAGTTTAGCAGATCTAGGTAGGTCCTGCCCACTCCCCTCAGTGACTCCCTTTGTCTGGCAGGCAGGTGGCTGCAGGAAGCATGCCCAAGCCATGTCCTGGGGAGTGGCACAGGCAAGGAGCCTGCCCAAGGCCCCCGACACCATGACTAACCATCCATGATCCCACGTCTGGGCCAGACGTGGCCTTGGGAGGGGGGCCTGGAACCTGCCCTCCAGGCACGGCTGGCTTTACGGCGCCTCTGTACTTGTATTACTGTTTTGCAGCCTCCCTCTTGAAATTATTAATAACTTAATCTTTCATTTGTATTTTGTAAGTGAAGATTGATGGAACAGTGGAAGTGCACGGGGGGCTTGGAACTTGGGCTCACAAGCAGCCCAGCCTCCCACTGCCTTCTGGGGAGGGGTCTCTGCTTTCTGCCTCACTCCACCTCCCCACCTCATGACTGCTGCCAACTTCAGTCCCTGGCATGAGCTGGGCAAGGTCAGGGCTGGCTATGCCCAGCTTGCCCTGTTAGTATTCCTAGGCCTGAGCGAGTGGAACAACAGCAAATAGAAATTACCAAGACAGGTAGAGAGGGAGAGACCCCAAAAGACAAGAAAAAACTTTTTCTCAACAACAAAAGTCCTCATATTTTAATTTTGCACTGGGACTGTCAAGTTTTGAACCTGGTGCTGACTCCAGGAATACACATTCTCAGGGCTCAGAGACAGAGACCCAAGGAGTTGAAGTCACAGTGTAATGCAAATATAACCAACGTTTGGGAAGCACAAGCAAGGAGACATCAAACCCAGGAGGGAATTCCAGGAAGGCTTCACAGAGGAGGTGGCCTTGGCAGTGAGCCTGAGAACTCAGGGAGGTTCTGTTGGCCAAGAAGGCGTTTAGAGTTCCAAAGGCACGTTCCTCCCACTTCCCCACCCAGCTGGCAGGCAAGGGACACAAAAGCAAGTGCCAGGTACCAGAGTTGTGTTTTTTCTTTGTTTTAAAATAGAACACATAGACTGAAAAGGACAAATCCAAAAGGCCCAACTCAGTGGACTTTTTCACGCATGTGTTCCCAGGAAACCACCACCCAGATCGACATGGACACCATCCCCAGCTTCCCCACCCAGGTCCTCTTGGGACCCTCTGATCACCCAACACCCAGCAAATCCAAAGACGGCCACTGTCCCTCTTCCATACCCATCAATTTGTGTTCAGGCCCTCTGTTTTAAAAAAATGAATGTGAAACTGTTGATTGGTCACTGTTCACCAGAATTTATAATAAGGTAGATAATATATATTGAAACGCATTCTGACTGTTACAAGTTTATTGTTTTTCCTGGTTTCTGCTGAATTGTAACCCAAATACTGAAAAGATTGGGCCTACATGTGGGCCCAACATGCAGGATAATAGTTTAAGACTAAAAGTTAGTTCATGAGTTTAGACCAGTGGGTCCCAGATGACTACATCTCTCACCATCTGCTTAGGTTTTCATAGCATCTTAGACACACGTGATTTCAGCTTTCCATAAAGGAATAGCTCTCTAGAAGAAACTTTTTTATTTATTTATTATTTTTTTTTTTTAGGAAGAACTTTTAAATGCCAATTTCACTAAACCTTGCTTGGCTAATTAGTTAAAATGCACCAGTATTTGCCTAGTCTTCTCATCTAAGTGGGGAGGTTGTTAGCAGTGATAAAAATTTTTCCAAAATTAAAAAATTTTCTCCTATCAAGGAGTTTTTCAAAAAACCCGTTGCGTTTATATGACTATAGATATAGATATGGATTCTGATACAGCTGTTTTAAATTGTCCAATTTAAATTATTTCTATTATATTTTTGTTTAATTGATTACAGAATTATCTATTTGTCTTGAAAGCTTATGGCTTAAGGAACTTCTTCTAGTTAACTTGAGGTGATTTATTTTTTGGATGACTCAGAATGAGAGTACCCCAGAAGCAAAATGCACTTACCCATGATTGGAAAATACTTTTTTTATTTTGAATAGTTTTCTTTTTGGTGAAGGTTAACAGAACAACCCAAATAATGTATATAATAAGTACACACACACACGCCCAGCATGTTCCTTTGGCATTTGGGGGTTAAACTCAACCTTGATTTTTTAATAGCCTCCAAGTGCTCGGTGCCAAGAGCAAAGTCTCACTTCTTCCCCAGCGATGAGCCTGCCCTGTGCCCCCCCCCCTGCCCCGCTCCTGCACTGTCTGTCTTGGTTGTGTCTCCAGGCTTGTGGTGGGAGCGCCCCTGGAGGTGGTGATGGTCAACGAAACCGGACGCTTGTACAGCTGTAACGCTGCCACCGGCCTGTGTCAGCCCATCTCATTGCACAGTGAGTGATGATTCCACCCAGGAACTGGGGCCCTGACCCCTCCCACTCCAGAGTTCCCCTCCTCAGCCTCTAGTCCGACTCTCCCCCCACATGAGGGTGTGCCTGAGTGTGACCAGGTGCATCCGCCCTCTCAGCTCCCCCAGGGGCCTTGAACATGTCCCTGGGACTGTCCCTGGCGGCCTCCATCAACTGCTCCCAGCTGCTGGTGAGTTTTCCTGGGTCACTGGAGGGCCAAGAGGGAAGGGGTCAGAGGAGGCCAGGCTGGGGGAGCAGAGGTAGAGTATGGGCGCCCCTTGCCCACATTGGCTTCTGCACCTAGGCCTGCGGCCCGACTGCACACAGAGTCTGCGGGAAGAACATGTACGTGGAGGGGTCCTGCCTCCTGCTGGACTCCCAACTACAGAGCAACCGGACAGTTCCAGAGGCCCAGCCAGGTCGGTCACTCTGAGTGGAGCACGTGTGGGCTCTCAGGAGTGGGCAGAGAGTGAGGCCCAGGTCTGAGGTGACCTTCCCAGTGGGTTTGGAGAGCCCAAGAGGGGCTGGCAGCAGGATCTGTCCTGGCAGGAGGTGGCAGGAGCCCTAAGCTGGCCGAGGGGTGAAGGTTTCAGGGGGCAGAGGGAGCCCAGTGTGCCGGCTGCAGGGGGTCCGAGGGTCTCAAAGTTGTCAGCAGGCGTAGGGACACTTCTTGGACTTGAAGAAGAAGGGCCTCTGCTGGTGAAAGCGTGTGATGAGGATGATGGACCCAAGAGGGAAGCAGCTCTGGGTTGTTCCTTGCTGAGCTGTCAGGAGTCTGCAAACTAGCTCTTCCCCTTCTAAGCGGAGCAGTGATGGGGCTGTGGAAAGTGGTGCCCAATTCTGCCTGCGCTGACATCTTCCACAGACAATGGTGATTGGGATGCTGCAGTGCCATTGTCTGCAGAGCTCACCTCCTTCGTCCTTGGGCAAGTGGCTTCGATCTCTGGGCCTTAGTTTCTTCATTAGTAAAATGGGCTAAATAATCGAGGTGCTTATGAGAATCAAAAGATTTAATACAGATGAAGTGCTTAGAGCCCTGCTTTGCACACAATATGGGGTAGCTATCAGGATGGGTCTAGCTGAGGGCCATGTGGGCTGGGACGAAGTACAGACTGCCTCATCTGTGGCATCAGAGAGGCCCCCCTAAGTAAGGGCCAGAGTCCCTCAAGGTGCTTCCTGGGAACCATGCTTTGGACCAGAGAAGCCATTATGCCAGGCATGGTAGGGTGTTACCCAGAGGTGAGCAGAAACATGCCCAGAACAAAATGAGAGAGCAGGGTCCACAGAGGAAACAGAGAGAGTGCAGGAGGGGTGCTCCGGACTGTGGGTGTCCCACCTCTGCCTGGGATGTGTGTGCAGCCAGGGCAGGAGAAGTGGCATTGAAACTTTAGGAGGTAGATATTTGCTAAATGTCTCTGGGGCTCAAGAGATGCCTGATGACACAGACACAGACACAGAACAGGGGGCAGGGGTGGGAGGGAGGGTGTGTCAGGCGGTGCTGGGTGCCCAGTGTACATCACCTGGTCACATCCTCACAGTATCCTGGGGGGGCAGGCAGGATGATCCTCGTTCACAGACGAGAAAACAGGCTCAGAAAGATGTGTTCCGTTGTTAGAAGGGGCAGCTGTGCCTGGCTGACTGGTCCTTTCAGGAAGATGCTCATTGAAAGCCAGATGCCTGCTGTGGGAGGCCCAGGGGCTGCAGAAGTGACATTGTGAGGGAAATTGCTCAGCCTGAGAGGCTGTATGGGGTGGTGACTGTGGGACCCTAGCAAGAAGGGGAGCACCTGAGGGTTTCCTGGTCTACTGTGTGTGCTGCTACATTTCCTAGTCACCAAGGGAGCAGGGAAGGATGTGACCTTCCGTTTCTCTCAGCACGAGGTGGGATAGGGAGGAGCTGCTGCACCTCAGTGTCACTGCTCAGTGCTGTGCTCACCTGGGGGTGACACAGGAGACAGGGCACCGGTGGAAGTCCCAAACGGGTCCTGCACACAGGCCACAACTCCCCCACATGAGTCTGGGGACCATCTGAAATGTCTTATTTGTTACGTGCTTAGGGCATGGCTCTCCATTACGGCATAGAACGTATGAGGGCAGGAATGACATCTGCTTTTAAGTCTGGGGTCTTCTATCACATTTCCCCAGAAACAGACTCTGAGGGTCCCAGAAGCAGTGCCTGTGGAAGAGTGACGGAAGTGGGACTGAGCAGGGGGCCAGGTGGGCGGCAAAGCCTTCAGAACAGAGGCCTTGGCCTGGAGTTTGGGCATGGGGCTGGGTACAGGTTGCTCCCAGCATTGTGGGGTGACTGGGCTGACTCCTGGGGAGGGACTCACAGGGGGGCCACCCATATCCAATCCCCTGCAGCTGGAGTGGGCGCTTCTGTCCTGATAGGGGTCGGGTCTTGGTGGCACAGCCCAGCACCCACGAGCTGTGTTCTTGGGCCTGGACCAGGGCCTGGCATGTGGCGATGACGGCAATAGCAGCTGCCTCTAGTGGAACAGGCCCTGGCTTAAGTGCTTTATGTCCATGTGAATTCTTTTTATTCTTGCAACAGTGCCATGTGGCAGGCACGATAATTACCCCATTTTACAGACAGGGACACTGGGGCCCAGTGAGGTTCCAAAACTTACCTGCATGTACTTCCAGCAGGTAGTGCTGCTGGGACTTGGTGTGTGTCTGTGTCTGTCCCTCCCCCACCCCCACCCCATGCTGGCTCCAGGAGGCCCAGGCTGAGCCACTTGGCTCAACCGTCTTCCCCTGCTCTCTATGACACACTTAGAAATTTGAAAATATTTGTTGGCGAAATTAATGAGGAACCCACCAGGCCCCTGTCCTCGACCACCCGCTCCCCTTTGTCAGGCCTGGAGGGAAGAGGGGAGCAGCAGGGGCTCTGCTGAGGGGAGGTGGGCCTGGAGCAGCAGGCTTAGGTCTCCCCTGGAGAGGGTGTAAGAAACAGGGTGGGAAATGACCCCTAGGCCAAGGACAGCCCCCTCACCCTGTGGAGTAGGAAGGCTTTCTGGGGCCCAGGAGATGCCTGGGACCCATGCGTGCGTGGCTCTGATTCTTCGCTCCCTCTCTGCAGTGTGTCCACATTCAGAGATGGACATCGCCTTCCTGATGGATGGCTCTGGCAGCATCGACCCAAGTGACTTTAAGAGGATGAAGGACTTTGTCAGAGCTGTGATGGGCCAATTTGAGGGGACCAACACCCTGGTGAAGACTGACCCCGCCCCCCCAGGCCTGAGGAGCAGGACAGGGATGGATGTGTCTGCTTCTGGGAGCAGGACTGCTTGCAAGGGGTGGGAGGGGAGGGAGAGGGTGGTGCAGCTGCTTTTGGGGAAGACAAGATGGGAGGGGGCCTGGCATCGCGGTGCGCTGTGGGCTCAGTGAGCCTGTGCCAGGCTGAGGCGAGGGTCCAGGGTCAAGGTGAGGTCCCAGCGCAGGGCTGAGTTGAGCCCTGACCCTCAGAGGTCCCCCCATTGCATTGAATAGGTCCCCACATGCCACCGACAGTGGGATGTTTTTCCTGCTTACAAGCACTGGAGGATTGTGAAATAATTTTGCTGTGAAATTTGACTGAAGTTAAATCATGAAATTTAACTTAGCCAAATAATTGATGATTCTTTATTATATTTTTTATGTAACTCATGATTTCTTTATCTTATTATTTGACTTCCCAGTAATTAGTGAATGTGTACGTACAAATTCTTAAGAAGTGAGGGAATATGGCCTATTAATTGATTTCACATGTTATAAAATATTTTTTAATTTAAGTTTAACAAATATTGTGGTTGACAAGTTTAGTCTCCATAAATTATGAAAGAAGCATTATTTGATTTTGATTTTCCAGTTTTCCTTTTGGGCCATTTCTTTTCCTTCTGGGTTTCAGTATATAAAGAGGGTGCCAAAAACATATATACACATGTTTTAAGAAAGGAAAACTGTATTAAAATTGTAATATTCAGTATATACCGATAACAAAAGATGAATACAAGTCACGTTTGACTTCTGCAATTACAAGAGGTGCTCAAAGTGGTTCCCATCAGCGTCCAGGCACTTCTGATTACAGCAAACTACTGCTTGAGCAACGTTGACCAAAGTGTCCTCTTGTGTACATTTTTTTGGCACCCCCGGTATTTGTTGGGCCTGAAAAACACATAGAACATGGTTTGGAAACCCAAAGTTATTCCAAAATTAAAAAGTTTATTAAAAATAAAGGTGACACCACAGCTCCTGAGCCTAGCCCTCCCCTCGGCTTCCACAGTTCTCGCTGATGCAGTACTCCAACCTCCTGAAGACCCACTTCACCTTCACCAAGTTCCAGACCAGCGCCAGCCCTCAGAGCCTGGTGGACTCCATCATCCAGCTGAAAGGACTGACGTACACAGCCACAGGCATCCTGACGGTGGTGTAAGCCCCCCTCCTGCTGCCTCCTGCTGGGTCTGCACAGCCCCCTTCCAGGCTAAGAGGCTCTGGGGACAGGGCTCACAGGGAGCAGGGCTGTAGGCAGAGTCCTCCTGGAGTGTTTCTGGCCTCCTGGATAGCTGCATTCCCACTGATACAGGACAGCGCTCCTCTGCCCCATGCTGTCTCTCTGCCTGGTCTCACATGGGCTTAACTCCGAGCCCCCTGGGGCTGCCAGCTCATGGGCTTCCCATCCTGGCTCCACACTTGTTGTCTGGGCGACCCTGGGAGATACTGACTGTCAAAGGAAGACAAACCCACAACTGGGTTGGAAGATTCAATGAGGTAACACGTGTGAGGTGTTTCTGCACAGGAAGTGCTGGGTAAATGGTTGGGTTTGACCCAGAAAATGGGACAGACTCTCGTTACCTGCCTGGCAGGGACTCAGCAGTTGTAGCCAAGTGTCTTCTTTGTGCCCCTCAACCTGCTCCCCGCCCTCTGTCCCCTCATTCCTCTCCCATGCACACCCCTACACTAACTGGGTAGTTATTATGTGCCTGTTCAGCCCTGGGTGCCAGGAGGGCCATGGAGAAATGGCTTACGGGGTGAGGCCAGCACAGGAGATGTGGTTCCGTGGGACAGAGCTGAATGTCCATGTCCTTTACTTCCTATGTACTCCCGGGTGGCTCTTCTGGCCCGTTGGGACTAGAAAACCAGGAGGAAAGCCTCTGGCCCTGGAGTTGAAAGTCACACAGGAGTGGAGTCCCCTTCCAGCCTCTGGAGTCCCTTCCCAGGGTGGGCGATGTCCTGCTCCCCACCCCCTGGAATGGCAGCCTCCCTGTTCCCCAGAGCCAAGCCCACCACAGGGCTGGACTCAGCTCCTCCCAGCCACTAACTGGGATGTTTTAGTTTTTTGAGGGGGTTTTTTGTTTTTCGTTTTAGGAGTTTCATGACAAAATGGCACTGACATTAAGAAAATTTGGGGGGACCTACAGTCCTTCTAGCCAAACACAGTATTTTAGCAAGAAGAAGGGATAAGCACAAATGAATAAATAAATGACACAAAGCACAGTGTCATTTCCATTCTTGTCTTTATTCAGACCTATTTTATATGGTCACAATCAGGGCAGAGACTATTTTCATCCCACCTTATTTTCATCTGTTCTATAAATCTTTTCCACGTGTCTCCAGCTCTTATTGTTTTCCTTTAAAATGGCTGTATACTTCTCCACCAAGAGCCTGGGTCAGGGACTCGCTAATGTTGCACATTTAAGTTGTTTCCAGTATTATATTTGGCGCGTGTGTGTGCTTTGGCATGTGTGCATATCTCCTGAGTTTGTAGAGCTGCATGAGCATTGAGTTACATTGTTAATAGCCTGTGACAGCTACCCTGGAATCAGTGCTTACCTGGGGGCCATTCACTGTTGTAAAAGCTTGTTCATCCTTAGAATAATCTAATACTATTTGCCTCACTATTGTGGCCTAACAAAACACTCCTAAATGTAATGGCCTCAGCAACAACTCTTTCATTGTTCTTTTTTCATGATCCTGAGGCTCAGCGGTCCTTGGGTAGGGTCTTTGGAGTGGCTGTGGTCAGGTGGTGTCGGAGGCCGGAACATAAGACCTCCACTCACCTGCCTGCTGGCTTGGTTGGACTGGCCGGAAGACTGGGCTCAGCGCAGATGGCTGGGCCCCTCTGTCCTTGTGGCCACCAGGCTTCTCAGGCCCATGGTCTATGGCCTGATGTCACATCCACTGCGTGCTGCTGATTAGAGCAAGTCACAGGCAGGTCCAGCATGAGAAGGGAATGAGGTGTGGCTCTGGGACCATCTCTAGGGACCAGCTGTGGCACAGTTCTTGTTCTCGTCTTGTGTGGAGAGAATCAGAGACTCAGAGAGGTGAGATGATTTGCCCAAAGTGTGTCGCACTCCTGCTCCAAAGCATTCTGCCTCCTGGGAATGAGGCTCCATGTGAACGGAATTTTAGAAACAAGGCGTATGAGTGCCTTCATAACTAGTCTTACTAATTATTGTCAGGGTGACTTTCAAAAAGGGCAGAGTTGACTTCTTAACATGCCCGACAGAGTTGGAGGGAACTGGGATCCCCAGTCTCTTCAGATGAACCGCTCGTGCTGCAAACGATTTCTTCCCAGAATCGATCCTATCTCAGTAGAGTCAACTCCCTTTTTTTCCCCGACAGGAAAGAACTATTTCACAGGACGAATGGGGCCCGCAAAAGTGCCAAGAAGATTCTCATTGTCATCACAGATGGACAGAAATACAAAGACCCCTTGGAATACACAGAGGTTATCCCCCAGGCTGAGGAAGCGGGCATCATCCGATATGCCATTGGGGTGCGTCCTCTCGCTCACTAGCAGCTCCCAGGCTTCCCCTGCCTCAGTGCACCTGCCCAGGCAGACAGGCTGCTGGGCCCCTTCTTCCTCCTCAGCTGCCTCTCTGCTGCAGGTAGGTGGTGCCTTCCAGGAAACCTCTGCCAGGCAGGAGCTGGACGCCATCGGCTCTGCCCCCTCCCAGGACCACGTGTTCAAGGTGGACAACTTCGAAGCGCTTGGCAGCATCCAGAAGCAGCTACAGGAGAAGATCTTTGCGGTGGAAGGTAAGTGGGGAACCGGCGGAGGCCTTGGAACTCAGGAGGTCCCAACCCAATGGTCCCCACTGTTCTGAAGGTCCACCCCTGTACACAGCCCACCCCAACTTGTTCCCTGAACCCAAGCCCCAGACCACATTCTCTTTCCTCTGCTCAGAGCCCTTGAAGCCTAAGTGACCTGTTTCCCACAGGAACCCAGTCGAGGACAAGTAGCTCATTCCAGTATGAGATGTCACAGAAAGGCTTCAGTTCAGTGTTCACAATGGTGGGTGGAATGCGTGCTTGATAATAGCTCCTTGGCAATAACTTGTGGAGCAGCTGGGACCCAGAAGAAACAAGAACGCAGAGCCTGTCCTCGGCTTGCCCTCTGGCAGGGGACAGACAGTCAGGCAGCAGAAGTAGGTGCTGGGAGCACAGCAGAGAGCAGGATGGCCACGTTTCCCTGTCCCGTGGAGCACTTATTCAGGGGGAGGAGAAGGCAACCAACAATCAAGACAGTCAGGTGGTGCTAAGCATTGGGAGAGACAAAGGTGATCAGGGGAAGCCAGAGGAGTAACAACTGAGGCTGTGTGATAAGAAAGGGCCAGCCCTGGAGAAAGCTAGGGAGAGGTCACTCCAGGTAGAGGGGAAAGCACGTGCAAAGGTCCTGAGGCAGGAACAAAGTGCTGCAGTAAAGAGACAGAGGGCCAGCATGGCTGGAGCAGGATGAGCCAAGGGCAGAATGGATGGTGATGGCCACAGAGGTGGGAAGGGCCAGACCATGCAGACCAAAGACTGACCATGTAGTATGCCTTGTCCAAAAGTAGGTGTGTATGTAAACATCCATGGGGATTTGCTTCAAAATAATTTGGGGGGTGAGTGAGGGGGATGCAGAAATGAAACAAGGTTAGTCATGAATTGATCATCGAAGCTGGGTCATGGGTACTTACGGATTCATTACACGCTTTTTTCTATTGTGGTATATGTTCTGAATTATCCACAATCAAAAGTTTATTTTTTTCTAGCTGAGCCATCCTGCCACCTGTTGGCAGCTCAGCAGCAGCTCAGCGGGCATTAAACCACTGTTGCTCAGAGTTCGCACTCTTGAGTGAGCTCTTAATGAACTGAGCCACTTGGCCAGCCCTCACAATCAGAAGTTTTAAAAGGCAGTAACTGCATATGTGGAGCAGGAAAGGCCTGTCGCTCCCTGAGGGAATGGAGAAAGCCTCCCCAGAGCAGGTGACTTTGAGACTGGCTCTTCCAGAGAGAGGAGCTGAGTCCCAGAGAGAGAGGGGACAGAGAGGGGTCTGGCCCGAGGCTGGATGTGTTTTGAAATAGGGGGTAACACCACAGGTTTGATGGGATGGGTCCTAGGCGCCATCTTAAGGGGCGTGGGGACAGGGGTCCATACGGATTTGCCAGAAGGGTGGTGGCTGCACATTTGGGTTTGAGGAGACCGAACTATGGAACAGAGAGCTAGCCAGGAGGCAGAGCGGGTGGTGGGTGAGAGGCAACGAAGCTAACGGGACAGGGCTGGGGGTTGGAAGCAGGCGGATTGGGGGACATGGACTGAGGGTGTTGGGAGTGGGACACAGGCTGCTGGTGAGGGCTAGAAAGAGGGAGGTTCCAAATAGTGAGAGGAGTCAGCAGCAGGATTGCCCTGGAACTGCCGTCCTCTCCTCTCCCCGCTGCTCAGCCCAGAATCCTTTCTTCCCAGGATGGACCAGTTTTGGGGGCTGTGGGGAGCTTCGACTGGTCTGGAGGAGCCTTCCTGTACCCCCCAAATACGAGCCCCACCTTCATCAACATGTCTCAGGAGAATGAGGACATGAGGGACTCTTACCTGGGTGAGAAAAGGCGTTGGCTGTGAGGACAGGTGGGAGAGGAGCTGCCTGGGAGGGGTGGGAGCTGCGGGGCGTGCGGGGAGCCTTTGTGCTGAGGCCTGGCCCCCTCAGGTTACTCCACTGAGCTGGCGCTTTGGAAGGGGGTACAGAGCCTGGTCCTAGGGGCCCCCCGCCATCAGCACACCGGGAAGGTTGTCATCTTCATCCAGGAGTCCAGGCAATGGAGGCCGAAGGCTGAAGTCACAGGGACCCAGGTGGGGTGTGGAGGGAGCCAGAGTGGAACATGAGGGGAGCAAGGTCTCCAGGGGTGGAGAGGGGGGAGAGGAAGGGATTTGGGGCTCATAGGGGGAGGTCCTGCTGCCTGGCTCCCCAGGCAGGACCTGGCCCAGAAGGGGTGCCTCTGGCAGAGGCAGGCAGGGTGACTTTAGGCTCTGTCCTCCAGATCGGCTCCTACTTCGGGGCCTCCCTCTGCTCCGTGGACGTGGACAGAGACGGCAGCTCCGACCTGGTCCTCATCGGGGCTCCCCATTACTATGATTCAACTCGGGGGGGCCAGGTGTCAGTGTGCCCCTTACCCCGGAGGGTGAGTGGCTGATGGGACCTGGCCTGGGTGGGGCTGGGCTGTGGGGTGGAGGGGTTGCCTGAGTTGGGGCCTGGCCTGGTTTTGTTCTGCAGAGGGCTAGGTGGCAGTGTGAGGCCATTCTCCGTGGGGAGCAAGGCCACCCCTGGGGCCGCTTTGGGACAGCCCTGACAGTGCTGGGGGACGTGAATGGGGACAAGCTGACGGACATAGCCATCGGGGCACCGGGAGAGCAGGAGAACTCGGGTGCTGTCTACCTGTTCCATGGAACCTCAGGACTGGGCGTCAGCCCCTCCCACAGCCAGGTGAGGCCCTGTCACTGTCCATCACGGCAACCTCCTCCTCAGCGTCCCCCTGTCTTCCACACTGCCACCTTGAAAACTCGCCGTTATCTTATCTTACCTCCTTTGCCCACCATTGGCAAAGGCAGGAAGCAAAATCTGTGGGATTTAAGAAACAGAAATATCGACTGGTATGTTCCTTGCTTTGTATGGGGACTTGCTACTTGAATGGGTTTTCCACCCAGACTTTTAATCCCCCAGCAGCTTTACAAGGTATGTAGACCAGGCATTAGCAAACTCATGTTAGAGACAAGAGCTGGGGCCTGGAGGGGATAAGTGACTTGATTTGTCCAAGTTTTATAGTGGACCATGACTGACGAGGGAGGTACCAGTCCCCTGACTTCTGACCCAGTGCTCGGTCTCTTGGTGGCTCCTGCTTGCTCAGCCGGCCTGTCCACTCACCCTTGCATCTCCCTGGATGCTGTATACCTTGATTCCTTCCTGCTATCAATAATCCTGCCAAATGCCTAACCAGGCCGCAGCCCTCCACCCACTCAGGCAGGGCTCCCTGCAAGGGAGTGCTGCTTCCCTGGGCAAAAGTCAGGGAAGCCCCAATTAGAACACAGGCAAAGGACCTGAGTAGACATTTCTTCAAAGGCGATATGCGAAGGACCCACATGAAAAGATGCTGAACATCATTAGTCATCAGTCATCAGCAAATCAAAACCACCACGAGACACCACTGCACACCCATTAGGAGGGCTAGAATAAAAAAGACATAATAATCATGATAAGCGATGGAGAGGATGTGGAGACATTGGGACCCTCATACACTGCTAGAGGGAATGTAAACTGGTGCAACTGCTTTGGAAAACAATCTGGCAGTTCCCCAAAAGATTAAACAACAGAGTTACCGCATGACTCAGCAATTCCATCCAAGAGAACTGAAAACATGTCCACACAAAAAGTTCGTAGCAGCATTATTCACAATAACCAAATGTGCATCAACTGAAGAATGGATAAACAAAATGTGGGCTAGCTATACCATTGATATTATTCTGCCATAAAAGGGGTGACACGCTGACACAGGCTGCAACATGGGTGACCCTTGAAACCCTGATGCTGAGTGATGGAAGCCAGGCACAGAGGACCATGCATTGTCTGAGTACATTTCTATGAAATCCCCAGGCAAATCCATAGAGACAGGAAGTAGATTGGTGGTCGTCAGGGGCTGGAGGTGCAGGGACACGAGGGTGACTGCTCGGGGGTATGTATGGGTTTCCTTTGAGGGGTAACGAAAATGTCCTAAAATTAATTTGTTGAGGTTTGCATAACCTGTGAAACCCATAAAACTACTGAGTTGTATACTTTCAAAAGGTACATTGTACAGTATGTGAATTATATCTCAGAAAGTTGTTAGAAAAATAAGCCAGAGACGACGCCGGGAGTCCTCTCCCTTCCCAGCTCTGTGGTCTTGGCCCTCACTCACTTCTCTTGCTCAGTGTTCTCATCTGTAAAATGGTGGTAAAGCCACCTCATTGGGCTGCTGCTGTGAGGATTCATTGAGTTAGTTCACATATGCCCATATAGACCATGTACGGCACGTGTACACATACGTGCCTGCACACAATCGACGTTATATTAGAATCAATTACTGCCATACAGTTTAACAACTGAAGGGTTACTTGGAAAGACTTTGCTGAGGGTAACGAGAGTCCCCCTTATTGTTGTGAAACTGCACTCGGGTCACACCATCTTTAAGGGGCTCGTCTATGCAGCCCTTCGACTGCAAATAGTCCTGGGGTCATACCCACGAGGCCTGACCCAAGAGGAGGCCTTTCCAGACTCACGGCCACATGATTTTCCTTTTTCCCCACATGATGTGTCTCACCACACACGTGGCTGGGGAGGTCTTGTCTTGTTCCCACACACCAAAGTCAGGGTGTGGTGATGAGGTCAGCTTCCTGGCCACGAGGCCACTTGACAGCGTGTGTGCTATTTCTACCCACCTCTTCATCTCTGAACTCCCTTGGTAATGGGTACATTTCTCTTTTGTTTTATTATTACTACTCTTAATGTGTCCAGAGATTTATAGGGCACATTCTCCAAGGGACTGCTTGTTACAGGAGCAATGGAAATAAAAGAGGAGGGAGCCACGGGAGGCCGGGTCCTGGAGCACAGAGCTCATGTGGATGTAGCTTGACCCACTCCAGCTTGACCCCTCCTTGTCCTCGAAGAGACAGGGTGGCCCTGGGCATGGGGTCTGAGGATCTGATTCTAGGTCTGGAGTTGGCTTCCTAAAGGCTGTGTGGCTTTGGCCCTGACTGCCAGGAGGGAGGTATAGCTAGATGAGCCCTGAAGCCCTTTCCAGCCCTAATACTCAGCACCACTAGTACTGGACTAGGTGCTGGTCTAAGAACTCTGTGAATTAATTCACTCACTACAGACAGCTGAACTCTGAGGTGTTATTATCCCCACGTGAAAGAGGAGGAAAGCGAGGCACAGAAGGATGGCATACATGCTCACGGCCTCACGGTTCATCTGGGGAGGAGCCGGATCTGGAACCTGAGACTAGATAGAACTCAGGTCACCAGGCCAGTCCTTCAGACTCCACCTCTTTACTGATGTCTTAGGAATCTTCTCTGCCCTCTAGTTGTCCTTTTGCTACCCTTCTTTTTGGGTACTCTTTGGTGACAACTCTTCCTGACTCACCCCTTTGTTCTGTCCCCCACATTCCTCCTTTCCTTGTGTTGCTGATTTCCAGCTTGTTTCCCTCACCCCCTAACCGGGCTTGCCTTACCCTCTCTGGCCAGAGGATTGCAGGCTCCCAGTTCTCCCCCAGGCTCCAGTATTTTGGGCAGTCGCTGAGCGGGGGTCAGGACCTCACCCAGGATGGACTGGTAGACCTGGCTGTGGGAGCCCAGGGGCACGCACTGCTGCTCAGGTAAGAAGAGCCTCCCTCAGATCCTCCCCAGGGCTCCTCGGTCCACCTAGGGCCCCGGCCTCCTCCCCCCTAGCCCGGGTTGGCCTCCTGCAACCCAGGGCCTGTCCTCAGCTCAGTGCTCTGCCTGCAGGACCAGACCTGTGCTCAGGGTGTCGGTCAGCATCCACACCATGCCGACGGAGATTTCTAGGTCTATGTCCGAATGTCGGGAGCAGACATCCTCTTTCCAGACACTGGGTGACGCCAATGTCTGCCTTCATGTTTATGCAAGTCCCAAGGACAGGCTGCGTGAGTCCTCTCTCCCCCAGGATACCCTGAGCCCTGGAGTCCCCCAGCTCCTGCCTAGCCCCTTGCTCACCTGGGGCATTCCCGGTTCTCTCGGCCTTTTCCCATCCCCGACTCCCCCCTGCAGGTGACCTCCAGAGCACTGTGACCTTTGATCTGACCCTCGACCCTGGCCGCCTGAGTCCCCGCGCCATCTTCAAGGACACAAAG